AATATACATATATTAAATAACCCACATTCATGTCACTTCGATTAAAAATTTTATGTTGTCCAGGTATTTGTTTCCATGGATTTGTTACGGTTCCCCATTTTTTATATAATCGTAACACTTTCTTTACCAAACCTTTACTAATATAAAGAAGATTCGTAATTTGCAATATTGAATAATTATCATAATATAAAAAAACTATACGCCATTTCAAGTCATCACTATACGCAGGAGGCATTATGATATTTTATTGAATTAAAATATAAATACAGAAATATAACAATTATACATATATGATAATAAAGGAAAACATAAAGCGAATATTAAATTTTTACTATATATCATGTAATTTATTATATTTTAATTCAATTTTTACTGTACATTATGTAATTTGTTTTGTTTTGATAAATTAAAATACCGATCATTAATGCCTGTATATAAAATTCTTTAAGAATCAAAAAATTGATCAGAATCGGCCGATTTCACATGATTTAACATGACATCATGATCTGCAGGGGTCACACCTTTCTGCAAACTGCTATAATTCCTATTACTATTTAATACTCAGAAGCGATCGTTGGTGTTTGGTGCTATGCCGAATTACTTATTTGGGTAATAATGGCTGTATTGAAATTTAATTTAGGTAATTGATTTACTACAGAATTGCTTTTTTTAGTAATTTTGAGTTTTACAAAATTCAACAAATTGTATGAAAATACTCTATACTCTATACTCTCTCAGCGCTATCTAATGCTCAATAGCTGCAAATCGAAGCACAGCGCTGCGTATTGAGTATTAGCACTTAAAAAATTTTACTTACCAAATAGCGGTCGTATATATATAAAATATGATACTAAATAGATGTTAGAAAAGGAAACCGATTTTTTTATGACTGCATTAAAAAAAAAATAAAAATAACGAATAAGTAATAATAATTATTACACAATTAGAAACTCTTAACTAATTATGGAAATCATGCAATATTGATTTATCATTTTATTTTTATTGGTCTATATTATTCACTTAATTAGGAAAACCTGACAATCTATTTCTTTATTTAATTTTATATGTATTTTTAGATGTTAACCGATTGAAGTCTATAAATATTAATATATATAAATTCATTTACTTAATTTTCTTTCAATTACTTAACTTCAATGAGAACCTAACAATTATTACCAACCCAATAATCGATAATCAATTGAATGTACATGCATATGTATATACATTTGTAACACCTTAATTATCTTTTAAAAAATGCATGCTTCTTAAATAATTACCACTATGAAATTACCAGAAATAGAACAAATATAAAACTTAAAACATACATACATATATACAAAAACAAAAACAAAAAATTAAATAGCAATAATCTAAAATTAGGGATGGATCGGTTCTAGAAAGACCGAAATAAGGATTGGTTTTTTGACCGGTACTATGATTAACCGGTTCCTGGTCCCAAGACCAGTTTGAACTGATCTTAAAGTAGGTTTGAACATTATTTTTTTTTTATCTATTGTATATTACCATTGATCACTGTATTAGTGTTTGGAACTGTTCAAAAAAATCTTAAACCAGATAATTATCTAGATTATCTGGATAATCAAAAAAATGCCAGTTACAACTATTATCATAATTCCTTGAACACCTGTGAAAATTTGCTTGAATGATTTTTTTGCCGATCCAGTTAAGTTATTGATTCAGCATAATTATCCATATTAGTATAATAATAATAATAATAAAATAATTAATCATTTTACGATTATCATAACAATAATGTCAACGATTTTAAATTTTTGTTCGAATGCTTGCCCAAAAATGTTTAGTGTGCTTTAGTTTGTACGAAAATTTATGGAAAAAGTCAACCAATAAACCTTAACAAGAAGGAATCAAATATAAATTAGACTTTTATAACAAATATATTGCTCGAACAGGTGCCTTTATTAAAAAGTTAAATATGATCGACTGGTTTAAAAATGAATCTTGAGATAGAATTCCAAGCGACCAAGACATAATTAATATTTGTTGAAAATGAATAAAGAATTATAATAAACAAAATCAAAGTAAAAAATTTTATATGTTTATATTTGTTTATATATTTTTCGCCTTAGATAAGAAACAAAAATAATTAGAAATAAATAAATGCTTTCGTTTGAACGAAAATGGATTTTGCCAAAGAGTAGGAATTGAAATTTAGTTTAATTTTTTAAAACTGAATTTTTTATATTCAACAAAAAACGAAGAATAATTAGAAATAAATAAAGGCTTCGTTTGAATGAAAATGGATCTTGCCAAAGAATAGGAATTGAAATTTAATTCAATTTTTTAAAACTGAATTTTTTGTCTTAGACAAGAAACAAAAAATAATTAAAAATGAATAAATGCCTTTATATGAATCTTACCAAAGAATAGAATTAGAAATTTATACAATTTTTTAAATCTGAATTTTTGTCAAAAAAGAATGAAGGCTTTGTTTGAATGAAATGGATTTTGCCAAATAATGGGAATTGAAATTTAAGTGCAACAAGTATGCATGTCGATATTTAGTTTATTGAAATATAAGTTTTATATTAGTCATCTGATCATGTATTTGATATATCTGTTACTAAATATTATTATTATTATTATTATTATTCCTGAAATCTATAGCTTAACCAGATCGGCGGAAAAATCATTCGGGCAAATTTTCACAGGTGTCCCAGGAATTATGATAATAGCTGTAAAAAATTCGAAAGTTTTTCTGAAACTTCTAGCGATAATTTATCAATAACTGCTTGATTAAAATTGGTTTATTTTAATTATATAGAATTCTATAGTATTATAGAATTAATAATAAAAAAAAAAAAGCTCATTAAATTTAGGTTAGTAGTTCTCGAGAAAACATTAAAAAAAATCTAAAAATCTTGGAAGAAAAATCGAGTAAAATTTTCTTTCTTAGAACTTTAAACGACTATTTTTCGATAACCGAGTATCCAAATATGATGTTTTTTTTTTTATTCTAATTCCGTGGATACATAGAACTAAAATAAAAAATTTGATCGAATTTGAATGGCAGTTGTCGAGAAATATTCAAACTAAAAAAAGTTTGACCGCAGCTTCTTTTTTAAAAACATCAAAACTTTAAACGAGATTACCTAGGCAAATTTGAGCAATTTTTTTATTTTATTCTATCAGTATATAGAATTAAAATAAAAAAAACTTTGTTAAATTTGACCAGTTAAGTGCCGAGTAATCTTCATTCAAAGTTTAGGCATAAAAAAAGCTGCAGCTAAACTTTTTTAATATTTCTCGATTACCTGCTATTCAAATTCGATCAAATTTTTTATTTTATTTCTATGAATCCACAGAATTTAAATAAAAAAAACTCATCTAATTTGGATACTTGGTTGTCGAGAAATCATCATTTATCACTGTTTGCAAATTGATTGTGACTTTTGATAAATTTTGTAGATCGCAAGCGGTTTCTCAGCAACCACTGAATTTTATGATCCTATAGAATTCAAATAAATAAAAATTCATCGAATTTGATCAGGTAGTTGTTGAGATATCATTGCTCAAAGTTTTTTTTTTAAAAAATATCAATGTTTATCAAAAATAGAAGCTGTGCCAAATTTTTACTAAAACTTTGAGCGAAGATATCTCAGCAAACATCTTATCAAATTCGATGAAATTTTTTCATTTGAATTTTAAGAACATATAGAGAATTCAAATAAAAAAAATTTCATCGAATTTGATCAGGTGGTTGCTGAAATAACTTCACTCAAATACAAGTGTGATAAAATGTATAACATCCATGAGTTCTCATTTATTTGAGCTAAAATTTTGCAGAGCGAATTTTAAATATTTTCTAAAAGTTTATTGTACTGTAATCACTTTAGACCAAGCTTTCAAAATCAAGGTGGATACCAAAATTTCAAAATAGAAGTTTTTCCTAAATTTTTAAGCGAAGATATCTCAACTCAATATTGATTGGGTGGCTGCTGATATATCTTCGCTCAAAATTTTTAAAAATGGTCAAACGTTTATTAAATAGAAGCTGCATCAAATTTTTATTAAAACTTTGAGCAAAGAGAAGATATCTTAGCAACCGCCTAATAAAATTCGATGTTTTTTTATTTGAATTCTATGATCTATAGAATTTAAAAATAAATTTTTATTGAATTTGATCAGATAGTTGCTAACTTTGCTTAAAAAACTTCTATTTTTGATATTATGATGAAAATTCTTGGTACCCACTATACATGTCGTAGAAATTAGTTTCGGCTGTGCCGAAAGTAATTAGGCTCTGATTTTTCGGCAAAAATAAAGCCGCAAGTTATAATTTATGCCGCAATCTGAAACAAAAGCCGCAATCTGAAATAAAAGCCGAAATCCGAAATACGTAATAATACCCTGACCTCTCACATGATAAATACGTCATTATTTCGTACGTAATTAAAGCTTGATATAAAATGATGTCAAA